TTCAGCTGAGATGCCACAAAACTTCATACTACTACTAATAATTAAAATATATATAAAAACATTTTAAACCGTTTAACTGATAGTAATATTCGGTCAAAATTAATTATTTCGGTTAACGGTTAAACGGTCAAAAGGAGCATCCCTAGTCGTCATGTCTAAGTTATAATTATAATAATAATAATAATAATAATAATAATAATAATAATAATAACAACAACAACAAAGTAAAAAATTGATGGCGTGGTCAGTTTGCCCTTAGCTATGAGGAAGGTGCCAGTTCTAGTCCCATGGTACCTAGTCAAGCCACAGGCATCTAGAGTGGGTCAAGTCTTACTCAACAAAACTGGAATACTATGCCACAAGAGGCCAGTCACATGATAAGCTGTTGCCCGTGAAAGCCAGACTCATCCAATGAAGTGCTGGGACTGGTGCAATTCTTTAAGTGACAGATTTTAAAAAGGTGTTTGAGACAAATCATGAAAACATTTTAAAGCAGACATTGACATCTTGTTGATGGAGGTTCTGGACTGAATAGTCTTTCTGTAGAAGATGTAAGGGACCAGCTGATAAACATATGAATCACATCAAAGGAAGAACAGAGCAACAGTTCGTAAAAGCCTTCATCCAGGACCAGAAAAGCTTATATCTCACATACTTTAAAAGCTCTATATGCTTTTCATTTGGTTCCTAAACAGCATGTCGTCTTCATTTGGAACATAGTGAGTAACCATCTTCGCAAATCTAAATTTAGAAACACTTCACATCAAGCAAGGGACCCCCCCCCCCAACTTCCTGAAGGAGCTCTACAAATTACCCATGGAAACACACAGTCCAAGCCTGTTGCAAATCCATAACCCATGCTACACGATAAATTTTGTGAACCAAGTCCTTCACATTTCCATAGGCAACAAAAGCCTGGCATCTGGGACATAGCTCTCCTTAGCCAACAGTATTACTGAGGATGAACAGAAAAGGGAATCTGCAGGTGTAGCAGGACAGTGATTAACTTTCCGCTGTGAAATATGCAATAAGAAAAGGCAGGAAAGGAGCTGGTCATCAAGCAGCCCCCCTGCCATCTTTGGTTAGCCCATGCCACAACCCCACCACAAGAGTGAGCTGATGGTTTTCCAAAGGTCAGCAAAAGGTCACAGTAGCACAGGCTACCCATGTTACACCAAACAGGTTTTGCATAGGGATCAAGCAGATTTTAAGACTTTCCTGTAAAATGCTTTAGACTTACCCTAACCAATACAATTCACTCTTAAGTAGACATTTTATTACAGCTATTTAACTAATTAAGTGACATGCATAATTAACAAATTAAGTAACCTGCATAACTTCACAGAATGTTTGACACACTAATCATTCAGAAGATAACAAAAACCACAGAAACCAGTTTAAACTCAAGCTAATTACTTCTGCAGTAATCACCATCAGTAGGGCTCTGTTCCACATTCTAAATCAGATGTCAAACAGTTCATGGTCGATGGCAGTCCCCATTGTCTTTACTCATAAGCATTTAAGCTGTGGTCCTAAAGGTAGTCCAAACACCCACATCTACGTAAAGCCTTCTAAAGCCCCAGTAATATCCATCCAACCAGCGAAGCTGATAAACCAGACAGGAATATTAAAAATGATCAATTTCAGTACTCGCAAACAAACACACTGCCCACAAACAGGTCAGACGGGTGTATTGGTAAACACTCACTCAATCTCCTTAGAAGCTGCATGTCTCTTAGACATAACACAAAGGCAGCATTCAGTCACACAAGCCTATATCAATGAGGAGATTTTTATGGCAAGTGCTCCATTATTAAGCAGAAGGCAGGTGATGCTCTCAGTTAAACAGGATTACTCAAGAGAACACGACAATGCCAGCAACCTAAAGGAGAAAAATACAAACTGTTGCACGCTGCTAGTTTATACAAAACTTTAGAACTTTGGGCCACGTGGACCCAGTCAGTCAAACTGAGCACTTTTGATCAAAGCCTTTGGTATGAACTGCAAATGGGATGGATCCATACACTCCACATACCCTGGCATCTGTAACTGGGCGTTCGTTGGATGATCAAACTGGCTCCACTTACAGTATATCTAACAGATTCCAACAGCCGTACGTTTGTAATGTGCCGTTTGCCTCACTGGTATGTTACTTGAGAAAAAAGCATCTGCTAAATAAAATGTAGATGCTCCCCTACTAAAGACCTGGGCTTGAATTTCAGTGTGGGATTGTGGGTATTGCTCATAATTTAATTGGTCCCCACAAATCTAGCACTTATGTCGGAAATTCTCGCACACATTTACAGCGATGTCTAATAATGTGCAGCTAACGTTTGTACAGTGAGGAATGCACGCTCCCTCCCTCTTGCTACAAGTCTAGAGCCCCGATCCATACCACCTGCCCAATTTGTACGACACACATCTGCATATTTGCAGCATTACACTTTGGCATATTTTATAAGTGCCCTATTTGTACCAATTGATTTGACATTTTCCACAATCCAACCTGTAGTTCAATCTTCAGTAGTTCAAACTACGATTTTAGTAAACACTTGCATTGTAACGGCATGTGTCCAACTATGAAAGTTAGTTGATGTAGTTTGCAATTACGCTTTTGGGAAAAATACCCCTTATTCTGTTAATTTATTTACACAACATCAGATTCATTTTACAGACTGCTGGTTAGCGATCTCCATCAGCCCAGAATGACATATTCAGCCAGAGATTCCAATTTTAGATTCTTTGTGTTCTATGCCTGTTCAATGAAAGTTCTGCATATGATCCTGTACTTATGTCTGAGTGCATATTTATGTCTAATTAGGTACCCAAGTCATGGTGGGGTGACCATATATGACCCTGATGGTTGCCAATATTATGTGGCAGCAGAATCACTACATAATGCCAACAGGACAAAGATAAGATCATATGTTAAGGTAAGATATATATTATTTCATCCAATTTTTTTCTGATCCCACTGATTTGGATTAATACAAACATGGCTGCAATAAACGCAAAATACGCCAAACTGCATAGTGAACCAAAGCTATAATTGTTCCAAAGAACCATGCTGCAGGACAGCAGCAATTTCAACTGTTGGAAATATAAACTAACATTTCAGATATGGGATACTTCGGTTTTACTGTTCTGTTTCACAGAAAATAGACGACCAGAGTGAAAACTTAAAATCACAAGCAAAGAAAACTGATTTTCCCCAGTTTTTTCCCAGTGGAATCAATAACTCCAGTTCTCACTAAACAACAAAGCGATCAATAGATCCATCCATTAACTTTCTGAAACCGCTTATCCTATTCAGAGTTACGGGTGGTCTGGAGCCTATTCCCGAAGCTCAGGTGCAAGGCAGGGAACAACCCAGGATGGAGCATCAACCCATCACAGGGCAAGAGTGATCAATAAAGTTCACTCCAAATGCTGACCAATATAGTTTGTCATAAAAAGTATGAATGGATCAGACATGACTAGAAACTGCAATGCAGCGTACGCATGCTCCAAAATGCTGCAAATACACAGACTTGCAAGGCATAAAATGGGGATGTGGTACGGATGAGGTAGTCACAGTTCATTCCTCTGCTGTTGCAACATCTCTCACTAGCATACATACAGATGTGAATGATATGAACTTGAAGGCATGCAAACATGGGCCGATGTTTTTAAGTGGAAAGGGATAAAATGAAGGAAAGAGTACAGAGAACGAAAAGAGTATGGAGATGAGAGAAGAGGGATCCAGCAAAAGAAAGATTAAGGAAACTGAAGCAGCTCAAGGAGATTACCTCTAATTGAGATGGAGAAAGAACTAATTACAGCAATGCATACAAGTTCAGAGAACCCCTCATATTGGAGGAGTGACAAAATGCAATCTGAGGTAAAAGGACATGATAGGACCTATAGTTAAGCTCACAAATAGTACCCCCCCCCCCACCCAGCGGTTTTTCTCAGCATCTACATTCTGCGCTCTATAACAAACACCCACATCTAGACTCTTTGA